CCACAGTTAAAAATCCCCTGTGTGACCTTGTGACCTGAATTCCATAGAAAACATCAAGGCCCAATACATTTTTTTTTTTTAAATAAGAACCAGTAAAATTTTGCCCAGGCTCAGTGTTCTTATTTTTTGGCCAATTTCAGGCTCAAAATGTTCTTATTTTGTTCTTAGTTTACACACCTTTTAAACAAAAAATTATTTAATTGTACGGCAGTATGCACTGTACTGGAATGTAGGTAAAAGTGACCGCACAAAAAATGGCCCCCAAATGTCAGATAGTTACACCATAGGGTATTGCATAGTCACACCTACTGCACATATGTACAGATATAATTTTTTGGTTTATAAAAATAAAAACCTCATTTGAAATTTTACCTCAGCCTCAATTTGTTCTTATTTTGTTCTTAATTTTCAAGCAATTTCAGCTTCAATGTTCTTATAAAATGTGTTCTTATAAATAAAAAAAAACTGTAGTCCTCAGCCTGATAGGCCTAGTTAGTTGGTCACCTCCTTGGTTGACTTCCTAATTTTTTATGATTCCATTTAATTTTATGACTTTTACATTTTGATGTTGCATAGCAAAGAGTTGCACTGTAAACTTGGATGAATCTTCAGTTTTAGTAAACTGTATCCTTAATATTGAGAATTAAGTGCATGTCCACAGGAAACCATTGGTATCTCTATATACTTTCCTACGTTTCCGGTTTAATACTGTCTAATAATGCTATTATGAAATCAAAACTATTCATTGTTTGTTTTCAATGTGATGTATAATTTACAATGTCAACTTATTAATTATAATGAATACTGCAGTAAATGCTTACAAATTACTTTGAGTACTAAGAAAATGTCTGTATTGCTAAACAAAATTCAGTATTTGAAATACAACATTAAAGTATTGGGTTTTTTTTTTTGCAAATTAACAAACAAAATACTGTTCCTTATTTTTCCATAGGTGCATGTAATTAGTATAGTAATATATTTTAGGATCATCATGATATACTGTAAAGTAAGTAAGTGTGTCCCTTTTTATCACCCAATAAAAAAAGTTCCTGAAATTAATACAATTTTTTTCTACCACTTTTACAAGTTGCCCAACTCAATTAGTGTTAATCAGATTTTTTATTTTTGATTTGTTTATTTTGGGTCTCAGTGTCTTACAAATGAAGAAAATTGTATTAAAAGTAGACATATATTTTTGGAATTTTATTGTTTTAAAAATTTTTGCAAAATCTTTCCTTCCAATCCAAGTGTCACCATGCACATTATGTTGCGAATAGTTATTGCAGGTGCCATGTTAAAGCCCCATTCCCGGCAAAATTTCAGTTTTTAAGAAAAATCTCATTTTTGTATAATGTTATAAAGATTTATAAATATAATATGGAATTGCTAGTTTAACTGAATTTAGACATTCCTAAGAATGAAAAAAAATGTAAAATAAGACTGAAATTTGATTTTTTTGTGTTCCACACAAAAAAATAAATGCGGATGAACTTTTCAAGTTTGATTTTGCGATAGGTCATGAGAAGAAATATCGTAGGCGCCGAAAACATTAGCCTATCCAATGCTGCTAGGCTAGGCCTAGCCTTACCTCGATTTAGGTTCTGTTATCACACATAAAAACGGCCGACATGATATTTTCTAA